AAAAAAAAAAAAAAAAGAAAGAAAGAAAGAAAGAAAGAAAGAAAGAAAAAGAAACTATGGAAAATCACAGGGCAAGTTAAGAGAAATCTGAATGTAAATGACCATCATCTTTATAAATTAATACATGAAAATTAGCCTTCAGTTGTAAATGAAATAATATATATTTTATCAAAAATACCAAAGAAATTATCATTTTATTTTTTTTTACCAGAAGACGGAGAACTATATTAAATATAAGAGGCCAAAGGTGACCCTAAAATATCCATCTCTGCCATATGCAGTCTAAAATATTGTGCAGAACACCAAAATACAGCAATATCATGCAAAGTAACATTCTAACTCAATTGTTTTCATTTAAAATGTACTCACTCTAATCCATTCTTGTCAAATTTATTTAGGTGTAACTTACGTACAACAAATAACATTACAATGAGTTTTGACATATGTATACACCATATAATCACTACCCCAAGATACAGAACATCACCTTAACCATGTCAGTTCACTCATGCCCCTTCCCAATCAATCTCCGCCTACCTTCTACCCCAGATACCACTAATCCAGTTTTTTTCACTATAGCTTTGCCTGTTCTAGGATTTCATATAATGGAATCATAGAGTATGTATTCCTTATACCAAGGTTCTTTTGCTAAACATCATCTTTTTGAGATTCTTCAGTAGTTCATTCTTTTATTTCTGAGCAGTATTCCACCATAAGAATATATTAAAATTGGGGTGCGTGGGGAAAAAATAAAAAAATAATAATATATCAAAATTTGTTTATCTACTCAGCAGTTAAAGGACATTTGGTTGTTTTCAGTTTGGGGTTATTCTGAGTACTGCTGCTATAAACATTTGTTAACATGTCTATATGAATGTTTTCACATCTCTCAGGGTAAACTTAAGGAGAACTGCTGAGTCACATGTTATGTGTATGTTTCCACTCTATAAGGAACTGCCAAACTGTTTTCCAAAGTGTGGTTTTACCATTTTACATTCTCACCAGCAATGTATGACAGTCTGGATGCTCCATATTCTCACCAATAGATAGTATTAGCAGTCTTCTTCATTTCAGCCATTCTAGTGAATGTATGGTGATACCGTCGTTTTGATTTGCATTTCTGTAATGATTAATCTCACTGTGTCACCCAGACTGGAATGCAGTAGCACTATTATAGTTCATTGCAGCCTCAATTTCCCAGGCTCAACCAATCCTCCTACCTCAGCATCCTGAAAAGCTAGAATTATAGCCACACAGCACCACGCCCAGCTAATTTTTTTTATTTTTAGTCAAGACCAGGTCTTGCTATTTTGCCCAGGCTGGTCTTTAATGCCTAAGCTCAAGCAATCCTCCTGCCTGGGCCTCCAAAATGTGCTAGGATTACAGGCATAAGCCACTGCACTTGACCAATTTTTAAAATTTTAAATTTGTCTAATTTATTTTCAAACTTAAAATCCATCTTGACTTAGTTATTACATAAGGAACACTGTAAGCAAAATAATATATCTCACATGATGAGAAATAAATCTGCTTTATGAAGAGAAAATCATTAACAAAAACTCTCATTAACCTTGACTAACCAATGTCAAATAACCTAAATATCTGTGCTTAATGGTATATAATTCTACAGAACAAAAAACATTTTCTTGAAGTTCTCATTGTATTTTATTAAGTTTCAATCTAAAATGCATGACAAGGAGCACCGAAACCATCAGTAGTAACTTAAACACAGATGCAATGCTTAACTTTAACCTGAAGATGCAGATCTCAAATAACACATTATGAAGCTAGACAAGCTCACCTGAGTAGCTGCAGACTGACAGGAAGATGACGATGACGACGAGACAACAGGAATGTCAGACTGTACAGCAGCCACAGTGGTAGCAGGTGTGAAAATCAGCTGTACAGACAGAAAACCAAAAAAATACCCTAAGACAAAAGAACATGTCCCACACACAATGTGTAGCAGGCAAAGGAGACTGAAATTTGTGACAGAAAGACAATGCAGTTTAGGATTATCTCCTCAGCAAAAGGTTTTACAGGACAAAAAGAAATTTCTAATAATAGAGAAATAAAAAAAAATCATAAACATTTTTAAAACAGCTCATGACTCTGATGAGTGCAAAAAAAAAAAGCAGTACTCAAAAAAGAAAATGTATTTTGGTGATATGAAATTCTGAGTCCAAATTGTATCTCAAATAAGCTATTATACTTAAATTTTTCCTAGCTCAAAACTACTGCGGCGGGATTCCTAAAATGGAAAGTTAAAGTAAACAACAACAGTGACTATTTTGGGACACAAATTAAATTTCAGTGAGAAACAAAAAGAAACACCAAAAAAGTCTTTTCAGTCCTCTTTATCATAAGGATAACTATGCCACATACTTACAACACTCCAATATTTCACCCAGCTACAAAGGATCTATAGGACAAATCCAGGTTGCTCTTTCATTTTAAAACTATTTGTAAAGAAGTATTCATTCTATGGCTGGGCGTGGTGGCTCACACCTGTAATCCCAGCACTTTTAAAGGCCCAGGCAGGTGGATCACTTGAGGTCAGGAGTTCAAGATCAGCCTGGCCAACACGGTGAAACCCCATCTCTACTACAAATACAAAAATTAGGTGGGCATGGTGGCTCATGACTGTAATCCCAGCTACTTGAGAGGCTGAGGGAGGAGAATCTCTTGAACCCGTGAGGTGGAGGCTGCAGTGAGCTGAGATCACGCCACTGAACTCTAGCCTGGGCGACAAAAGTGAGACACTACCTTATTTAAAAAAAAAAAAAAAAATTCATTCTAAAAGTAAATGCCACAGATGTCAAAATTAAACAAAAGAGCCTGCAAAAAAA